TCCGAAACCAAGAATTTTATGGGAACCATGGTGTGAGAATAGATGAGATTATTGCATCAGGTATATATGTATAGATCAGCCTTGCTCACAATATATGCATTAGTAGTGGTGGGAGACCCTCTTGCCTTGTCTAATCAATGATTTTCGTTCGAGACTGCTCCTAGCTGGTATAGATGATGTGATGGGCACAGGGTTGTTATAGATGAGGTGCTGTCTAGGTACTTTTTCGACAGTATACAGACATGGGAGTATTTTCGACGAGGTGTGAGTCAGTGTAACTTTAAAGAGACCATGAAGAAGTTATGAATCCATGAAACATTTAAAGGTTTGAATGTCTTCCTTGAAAAGATATGTGGAGATCAGCAACACTGGTGTAGGACCAGAGGATGTGCATTCGGAACACTCGAGATCCGTTAAGAGACCAATTAGAGATACTCTAAAAAACAAGAGAATTTTCTAACAGAAAACCGAATTTTCTTCCATTGAAGGTTGATTGATTGTATTATGAGATTCCCATAGCTACACTAGGAGAAAAAGTCATATGGCCTTTAAAAAAAAATACCATAATTTCTTGAAATATAATTTAATGTGATGGTTTGATTCTCTTTTGTTAGGTCTTCTATTATTTAAGTAATATATGTAAGAAATTTAGTTATTGACAATATACCTTGGGATTTCCATCAAAAAATTATTGCTCTTCTAGGAGATTTAATTTTTTTATTTTTGAACAATCATGATAAATCCTCACTTCCTTTCAACATTTAAATTTTAGGACCTGTAATGTACTTGGACGAAACTTCACAAACCGCCGCCCTCATCCGAAATGCAAATGCTGCCCATCACTTACCTTAAGTTTTGACAAATAAAACCGTTTCCAGTTATTTTTTTACGATTTGCTTTGATTGCTTGGCCCGCCCACGACGATTCCGTGTTCGTTTTTTTTTTAGGTTTCATCAACTTATGGATGGATTAATAATTTGCATAAAAATTGTTTTATGTTAAACATAAAAATTCAATTTTCGGCATCTTTTGTGACAGCCACAAGAAGAAAAAAAAGAAGAATGCGAAGCATAGGATACACATTGCTGTGTTAGGATTTGGAGTGAGCTGAAGAAAAAATCCGTCGTTACACCTTTATTTTTTATGATTTCATTTCGAGCCATGAATTTGGGGATTTTTTTTTTGTGTTGGCGATGTCCCGCATGGTAATAGGAAAAAGGACTCCCCTCCCATTGGAAAAAGAGGAACACGGAATAAAAAATACAAAAACTTCCAGCAAATGTTCCATGAATGATATAAATTTGGAATCTAGACGGAATAATGTTGGCATAAGTATGAAAAACGATTTTACCTGCAGTCGTTAAGAGCTTTAACCCCAGGGCGTGAAAAAGTCGAGGGTCTGCGCTTTCAGCTGCTAAGATAAGTAACTGCTTAGGTGGGATGAATCCCCAAAAGGGATGGTAGTGGTGGGGAGAAGGGGAATGGTGGTTAAGTGAGAAATATTACCGCAGGATATTGTCATCCGTTTTCTTCCTCTTTTTTTTGTTGTTGCTTCGCATCTCTTGCTCGCTGATTGCGGTTTTGCATAATTTTCCAGTTTGTATGATGACAATATCAAAATATGGCCAAAACCCAAATTTTATTTATTCATATTTCATGCATTCAAATTGAATGTTAATGCAAGTTAGACGAAATTAAACTTTATGGGAGGTTGGTGTTTTCTTTCTTTTTTTTTTTTTTTTTTGAATCGGAAAATTTCTTACAAATGCAAGTATTTGCATTTGTAGTACGGCAGGTACTCAAAAAGTCTCTTTGCATATTATAAATAATTTGTCTATAAATACTTTTATTTGAAAACAATTACTTTTCATTTCAATAAAGTTGGGAGAGACCTGTATCTGACATTGGTTTGTTAAGATGTTGATGAGTAGCTCAATGGAAACAAGTTTAAATAGGAAATACACCCTGTGAATCGGAATAACATTTTCCAAGAGGGACCCTTAACTTTTTGTCGCCAAAGAGTTATTATAAATGTAAATCGATAGTAAATATTTTGAAAATGAGAAATGCAAAAAAATTAGGTCAAAATATTGAAACATGTGGGAGTGGAGTTCCCCGGGCCGAACTTTAAACACCATCCACCATTTTGAAGAAACTTGAAAAATTAAAAAAAAAAATTCGTGGAAAAATATTTCTCAAAAAAATCCTTATATTGGGGCTATACAAAGATTCATAAGTAATTTTTTGTCATAGCCTGTAGTTCCGATTCCAAACTTCAAATACGAAATTTGAAACAATTCCGGTGAATAATGTCGCTAACACCATCAAAATACCAAATATCGAGAAATATCATTATATAGGGGCTATACGAAGATTTGGAGCTGCATAGGCAATCTTCGGTCATACCCATTACGATCATAAAATACGAAATCTAAAACAATTCTGGAGAACAAGCTCCCTAACATCATCAAAATACTGAATATAGGGAAGTATCGTTATATGGAGGCCATACGAAGTCGTGGACCTGCATACACGATTTTTTGTCATTGGCTGTAGTATCTATTACAAACTTTGGACATTTACAAAATTCCGGTAAAAAAAATTAAGCGAAAGTCATCAAAATACGGAATATTGGGAGGTACCGTTATATGGACGCTATATGAAAACGTGCCCCGACATGGCCCATTTACGAACTTAACCTGCCCACTGACAAAATACAAAATTTTAGCCTTCTCTTCAATTCGTCCCAAAGATAGCGTGATTCCAACAGACAGACACACATGCAGACAAACAGACGGACATCACTAGATCGACATAGAATTTTAAGCTGTTCAAGAATATATGTACTTTGTTGGGTCTGAGATGAGTATTTCGAGGAGTAACAAACGGAATGAGAAAGTTAATATACCCTCCATGGTATGGGGGAGAGTATGAAAATGATTAAATACAGAGGGAATAAAAATGTTTGGCCCATTAAAAAATACTTCTTTCATATTGCTTGGAAAAAGTACATCGTCCTTAATACAGAACCCCATCCAGAGTCGGAACAATTCACAATAATATTGTTAACTTAACAACCAATGAGCTGTGGAATTAGTGAATGCTTGTTCCAAAGAGAAGCAAATTTATATTTCACAGTTTAAGAGAAATAGAAATACGACACCAATGGCTAATACTCCGTTACAATTACGAAATGCTGGGGGAGAATAGTTAAAAAATAACCAGTGATGCTATGTTGGCGATCAGGCTGGGTTTTTGGAAACTTGTACTAAAAGGGTACGAAAAAAATTAAAATGAACTAAAAATTTAATAATTTGTATTGGACAAACAGAATTGGACATAAATCTGGAATATGAAATTAGAATCATTGATAGGGCGCAGGATAGATGTACCAAGAGGTATCTGAAAATTCTATCATAAGGATTACCAAAAATTCTAAAACTTGTTATGAGAGTGTGACAACTGTACGAAATGGTACTAAATTTGGAACAGTTTGTCTTAGGATGACGGTGGATTTTTGAAATTTTGTATTGAGATCCCTGTAAATGTATATATATAAAGGGGCCTTAAATTTTGTGGCCTGTGAACCCTGGAGAATTTATAAGAACTTAGAAAGGTCCTCTTATGAAGGGATTTGAAATTTCTTTCGCAAGTAGAAGATCCCTAGATAAAAAGCCACTTGTGACAGGTATCTCTGTCAGAACCCCTGTTCTGTTACGCGATTATCTTATATATCTATAAAAGATGAACATTTTTGTATGTATGTTTGTAATTTATGGACTCGAAAACCGTCGAACAGATTTTTCTGAAAATTTTCATGTTTTCTACAACATCGCCTGAAAGTAACATAGGCTATATAAATTTTTGATATTCCACTTGGAACTGGAGATATGGCATCAGAATCGGAGGTACCTCCCAAAAATTTAGATTTTATATGCACATATCTATTGATAGATTACAGAAACAGTCTCCAAATTTGGAAAGCGTAGCGGTATTTGAAACAGAAATAAATTTGCCAAAATTCTATTTTCGGCGGATTTCATGTATTTGATGCATTAAACACGCCGTGTGCGCCACATTTTAGTGAAATTTTGAATGTGCAATGCAATTTGACCAAACAAATTATTTGCCAAATTATATTGAAATCGGTTCAGATTTGGATATAGATCCCATATATTTTTTCGGCCGGTTTCGTTTATTTGATGCACCAAACACGATACGTATGTCCGAATCCAATGAAATTTGGCATGAGTGACGGGATTTGATTAGAAAATAAAATTGCCGAATTATATTGAAATAGTTTCAGATTTAAATATTGATCCCATATTTATTTTCGGCCGATTTTACAATTTGATGCACCCAATGCGATATGTACGTCCGATTCCTATGAAGACGAAAGAGAGACGAAATTTGGTAGCAAAAAAAGTTTGCTAAATAATATTGAAATCGGTTGAGGTTTGAATATAGCTCCTATATATACGAGCATATTTCGGCCGATTCATGTATATTATGCACCAAACACGATATGTATGTCCGATTCCAATGAAATTCATAATGTGTGGCAGAATTTGGTAACAATAATAAGTTTGACAAATTAATAAGAAATTGGTTAAAATTTGGATATAGCTCCCATAGCTCCATGAAGAAAGTAGGTCAGCTGTTCCTGGCATGTTCACGGGTTGGTAGACCGAGCTATTTGTTTGTTTATGCATAAAGGTATTACAATAATTACGTTTTTAAAATTTGTCATATATATTTTTTTTAACCAACAAATATTCATATATAAAATTTTGAATGCATATCAAATCAAAAGGGTAGCGAAGCGCACCGGGTTCAGCTAGTATTATATATAAAAGGTCTCTTCTATAGATGTAAGAACTGTCAAAGTCAATATATCCCCTAAATATTACCTTTGTTTTTGTCTGTCTAATTTTTTGTTTTGATAAAAACCGCTACATTCTACTTAAATATTTCAAAAATTGGATTCATGTTCAACTTACGGATTAGTTTCTGAGGATTGGTGGTGCTGTTGCTGATGTTCCATGCTGTTGTTGTTATTATTGTTGTTGCTGCTGGCTAATAAAGTTCCTGACGATGTTTGTGTAGCTGTTGGAAACTGTGATGATAATTCTGTTGTCGACGATGATGTTGTTGGTGGCACTGGGAAAGTTAATAATCCACTTGATGCTGGAGAGGTGTTTGTATTATTACTACTATTGTTGCTGTTGTTGTTTGTTGCAGTCTCCACAGCTGTAGCAGAATTTGTTTTTAAATTCCCAATGTTGGAATTTATTTGTGTGGCATAGCCAAAGGACGATAAGCACAAAGCCGGTGTGGCAGCTGCCGATGCTGCTGCTGTTGCTGCTGTGGGCGGTGGAGGACGCGAATAGGGATGAAAAGTTTTCGACGATGTTGTAACTTTGGTTGAATTAATTGTGGCCGCCGATGCTGTTGTCTCCGCAGCAATGGCAGTCTCTAAATACTTGGTCTGATACTGATGTAGCTGTTGATGCAGGGGATGTTGTTGTTGCTGTTGTTGTAGATTATTTAAATGATTATTGTTTACCATCATCATATGTTTATTGTTATTGTTAATGCCAACGCCAATGCCGCCAACATTACTGTCGCCATTGCCAATGATGTTGTTGTTGTTGCTGGCGCTGTTTGTGTTGTTAGTGTTATTAGCGTAAACAACTACACCAAGTCCATTAGCATGAGCTGCAGCAAGTGCTGCCGCCCCCGGTGTTGCCACAATTCGGGCAACAGGTGCTGACAATGTCCCGGAGTTGTTGTTGCTGTTGGTGGCTGTGTAAAGTTGGCTAGGATTTAATGTTGCTGTGGTTGTGCCAAGACCATTGTCCACCATTACTACTCCGGCGTTAGTGTTGCTATTGGTATTACTGGCACTGCTGACGTTGTTGTTGTTGTTGCTGCTGCTGTTACTATTTGCATCGGAAAGTTGATCTGTACGCAATTTCATAGATTGCAGCATGATGATGATGGCGAACGCGTTTTATTATTTGTTTTTGTCGAAATGATAATTTCTCTATTCCCCAAACGGCCAAGTTTGTTGCTGCTCCGTCGAATGGTGTTGAATTTAAATGGTGTTTTTATTGGAGTTAGATTTGGTTGTTTGTTTTGCTGGTTGGTTGTTGGATGTTTGTGAATTTTGTTTTTATTTTTTGTGGCTTGTTGTTTTAATTACACGCAAATTTTTGGCCAGCATTTATTTAGCGAATATTTTTTTTTTTTTTTTGGTTTTATGAACTTTTTGGTTTGTTTAATTATCACAGTATCGAAATTTTGTTTTAAAACACTCCGAGCTCTCTTCGCCGATATATATGTGAGAGTGTAGATCTCTTTACATCGGATGGGTTGAAAGGGAAAACACTTTTGCAACGCGATGGCAATGAACTTTCACTGAATTTCGATAATATAAATTGGTTGAAATTTTGATAGCATTTTTTGAGATAACTGAAAAAAAATAAAAAAAAAAAGAAATTAATGGAAGATCTTATAATGTAAAAAGTGTATAAAGCAGATAGAGCAAGAGGATATCATTGGGAAATATTTGGAAAAAAATCATGATTACAGCTCTACTGGTCCTTTATCATAACTCAGACGATTCTTGAAAAATGTATTAAAAATTAGCGATCCATGCACTTGAGGTAATTAATTCTTTTTATTTTCAAAATTATAGCTTCGATAGAAATATTTCTCAAATATTCCAGAATCGTAGCTAATATAGACCTAGAAAATTATTAAAATGTAAATTATTGTAGATATAATCCGTGAAATACACACGATTATAAAACTGATAGACTTTCAAAAAAAAAAAAAAAAAAAGAAATTTTTTCGGGTCATGGTCTGGGGGATGGGAAATTCCAAGAGGAAGTGATAGTATTCGATTATTAGATCAAAATCTGGGCTTTCAGACACCGTTTTTAAGGCATTATCAGCCGCAGAGCTGATATTGTTTGGACACCTCGGAGCTGTGATTCGACACAGTGTTGCACCGAAAAGCCACAGATAATTTCCACTTTAAAGGGCAATATTCTTGAAGTCAATGGTGAAATACTGCTACTACATTGCAAGCCGAGGCAGCTATTTAAAATCAGTTATTTCCAGTATCAACCGCCCTTTTTGACAGATTGGTATAGAAGGGGGCAGAAACGCTTCTTGTAGAAAATGTTCAATGTAGATCAATGTCTCGTAGTAGCACCCATATAAAAACAATTCCGGATTTTTTTATATATCTAAGGGTCTTGACCATTGGTCCCTTAAAAAATATTTTTTTTCTAAATCCGCGATCAATGGGCACTAAAATAATATTTTTTTTATAAATCCATGCCCAGGGTCCATTAAATTTATTTTTTTTTTTTTCAAAAATCCACGTCCAGTGGACCTTAAAAATATTTTTTTAAAAATTCACGTCCTTTATGATTTTTTTTTTCTTAAAAAAATATTTTTTCAAAAATCCAAGTCAATTGGTCCTTTTTCTTAAACAAAATATTTTTTCAATAATCTACGCTCATTGGTTCTTCAAATATATATATTTTTTTAAAATACTAAGCCCATTGCGAAATTGGTCTTTGAAAAAAAATATTAAATCCAGGACCATTGCAAAATTGGTCTTTGAAAAAATATATATATTTTTTAAATTCCACTCCCATTGCAAAATTGGTCTTTGAAAAAATATTTTTTTAAAAATCCAGGCCCATTACAATTTTGGTCATTGAAAAAATATTTTTTAAAGGCCTATTGGTCTTTGAGAAAACATTTATTTTTTCAAATCCACACCCATTGGCCTATTGGTCGTCGAAAATATATTTTTGTAAAAATCCACGTCCATTTTACTATTCATCCTTGAAAATATATTCTTTATAAAATCCAAAATCTATATCTATATATTCCTTAAAATCCACGTTTATTGGTCCTTGAAAAACTATTCTTTAAAATTTCACGTTTATTGATCCTTGAAAAAATATTCTTTAAAAAGCCACGTTCATTGGTCCTTGAAAAAATATTTTTTAAAAAGCCACGTTTATTGGTCCACATTCATTGGTCCTTGAAAAAATATTTTAAAATCCACGTCTTTTGTCCTTGAAATTTTTTTTTTTTTAAATCCACGTCCATTGGTCCTTGAAAAACTATTTTTTAAAAATATACGTTTATTTATTTTTATTTTTTAAAATCCACTTTTATAGGTCTTTTGGCCCTTAAAAAATATTTTTTTAAAATCCACGTTTATTGGTCCTTGAAAAAATATTTTTTAAAAATCCATGTTTACTGGTCCTTAAAAAATATTTTTTTAAAAATCCACGTTTATTGGTCCTTGAAAAAATATTTTTTAAAAATCCATGTTTACTGGTCCTTAAAAAATATTTTTTTAAAAATCCACGTTTTTTGGTCCTTGAAAAAATATTTTTTAAAAACCCATGTTTACTGGTCCTTAAAAATATTTTTTTAAAAATCCACGTTTTTTGGTCCTTGAAAAAATATTTTTTAAAAACCCATCCACGTTTATTGGTCCTTGAAAAAATATTTTTTAAAAATCCATGTTTACTGGTCCTTAAAAAATATTTTTTTAAAAATCCACGTTTATTGGTCCTTGAAAAAATATTTTTTAAAAATCCACGTTTATTGGTCCTTGTAAAAATATTTTTTAAAAATCCACGTTTATTGGTCCTTGAAAAAATATTTTTTAAAAATCCACGTTTATTGGTCCTTGAAAAAATATTTTTTTAAAAATCCACATTTATTGGTCTTTGGAAAAAAAATGAGGGTTTTTGTTAAATCCCCGCTTATTAGTATTTGAGAACATTTTTATTGTAAATCCACGCTTATTAGTCTATTTGTCTTTATTCCACGCGCATTGGTCCTTGATAAACTATTTTGATAAAAATTCACGTCCATTAGTCCTTGAAAAAATATTATTTTAAAAATCCAGCTTAAAAATCCACGTTCATTGGTCCTCGAAAACATATGTTTTAAAACTCGACTCACATTGGTATATTGGTCCGTGAAAAAACGGTCGACGAAGGGGTTTTTGTTGTAACAGACAAAACAAACTTACATGGTTATGTTACTTACTTCAGGTTGAACGAAAGCATAACAAGTGGAGAAAGATGTAAATGTTTATAAGTGCGGTTGTAAGATTTAGAAGATTTTCCAAAAGAATTTTAGTTTTATGTAATTATTTTGTTTCTCTTCTATTGAGCTTACGATCTCGTCACTTGGGTAAAAAATGTTTTTTGTCATAGAAGTTATTTTTAAAATAACTTCTGGGGAGAATATCCCAGACAAGAAACAAGGGAACTGATGAGGATTGGTGGCTCTTTCCGAAACCTAGGTATTCCCTGCCTTACCCCCTGGTAAACATTACCATCGTTCTCCACTCATAAACAAACGTTGTTTTTATAAAAACAACAATAATGGGATTTTGCCTGACGATTTTGCAACAAAAAAAAAAAAAAAAAAAAAAAATATTACTTAATAATCCGCCTTTATTATTATCCTTAAAAAAGTTTTTTTTTAAATCCCCGCCCATAGGTCTTTTGGCCCTTGAAAAAATATTTTTTTTAAAAATCCACGTTCCCTGGTCCTTAAAAGAGATTATTTTAATATACACGTTTATTGGCCCTTAGAAACATATTTTTTAAATACACACCCATTGGTCCTTGAAAATAATATTTTAATTAAAAATCAACACCTATTGGTCTATTAGTTCATGAAAAATTCTTTTGCATTGACCCTTGAAAAAATCTTCCTTACAAATATTCTTAAAAATAAAAATCCAGGTTTATTGGTGTAATTGTTCTTTAAAAAATATTATTTTTACATCCACACCCCCTTATCACACATTTCCAAAACCAACATCATACATTAAATTTTCAAAAAATCGTTACCTAAAAATTTAAGATTATAGCTCTGCTAGTGCTTAAATATTATTCAAGATGATATTTCTTATTGTCTATAAAAAACATATGCTTAAAATCCACAAATGTCCTCAAAAATATTCCTAAAAATTGAAATAAGTAGCTGATATTAATAAGTAGCTTCCTCATAAATCTACGATTATGGCGTTCATATCCGTAAGAAAAACATATTCTTAATAAAACTTCAAAATCATAAATTTGGTAGATATTTGAAATATATTTTTGCTTAACCCACAACCGGACCTTTGCGATTTCTTCTAGGCATGAGTAAACCAGAACTTTTGACATAAAACAGAAAAGAATTTGATTTCCATTTCTCATTAATTTCTGACCGCATTTACTATATTTCACCTCCACACATTTTAATTGTAGCCATATTTGGCTTCCCCATCATATTTTCAATTTATTCCAAGTTAACCCAACGTCACTACACCCTCCCCCCCCCCCCCCCCCCCCTTGCGATTCCCCTCAGATTTTCATTAATTTGAAAAGGATACCACTCTCGGTTAATTATTTAGCTGTGACTGTATGCCCCACCATCGAAGAGAATATCACAAACCCTCATTACATGAGATTACATGGAAGTATAACAAATCGAAACATTTCAATTCATTTCATTTGAAATCAATCTGCTGATTCTAAAGATGTATCAAGATTAACAATCCCACCGCAATAAACACTTATCATTAACAGCGGCACTGATGATGGCGATGATGATGACGATGATGTAGATGATGGTGATGGCGATAATGATGTCGATGATGCTGTTAATGATGACTTGAAGTAATTATGACGATAGTCACACAATATTGAATGCCAATGGAACACATACTCATCAACGTATCTAGATAGGCGTAGACATGACGCGTTGTCCGTTGCTATTACCACGATATCATTAATGGGTTCAAAAGTGACCATTACTATGTGTGTGTGTGTGAGTTTGTAGTATGCCACACTCACGTTAAAATGATAGTTGTTGTTGTTGTCGTAGTATTTAACGATAACTCATTGTCAACTAATTAGTTAAATTGAAATCGAATTATTCGTTGTCGCACTTGAATTAACCGCATAAACACACACATGCATACTCTTCTACATATATATTGGTATGTTAGTGTGCGTGCTTATATAAATTGAAGTTGAAACCGAAAACCTCATTTAATATGAAAACGCTCGCATACACACACATAGATATTTAAATGTGAGGTTTTATGCCCAGACCCTGCGTCGTCTGTACAACAATCATTCCGCATAATTATCGGTCAGTTGATATTTACCGGTTTTTGGTTATAGCCCTAGTCCTGCGGTATATTTATGTCTCTACTAAGAATAGCGCACAAATACACACACATTTTTTCCATACATACGACATTAATACTGTAAATGTAAGCTAATAGAGATGATTAACATAGGGTTGGATGGTGATTTTGAAATAGGCAAGGAAATGGATAAAAAATTAAGCGAATATGAGCCAATTTGTAAAAGTTACAATAGAATTTCATGGAAAAAAAACATAAATACTTTTA